AAGCAAAACAGATTTATAAGCTTTGTTATAGAAAAATGGCAGTTTCCTGTCTTCTCTCTTCCCGGTCCATTTCCTCTTCCACAGGACACTTCAATCAGTTTTGGTTAATCTTTTGATATTTACCTCCATGTCTCCAAATAACATGAGTGCATAGCCTCTCCTTTTTCTTTTCCTTTTGACAGTTTTAAGTATTATCTATACATCTACTGCAGTGAAAAACAAAAGGACCATCTCGCTTCTCTCCTCATTCCTTACAACATATCTCTAACCTTCCCATTCCTTCATTCTCCATAAATATTTATAACCAATGTGCTTTTCACATTATCAAGATGATGTAAATATTATTTACTTTCCATGTATGTGGTTGTAGCATGTAGCAAACATGCCTATGCATTCAAGCAAGATTTCTTTCACTTTTCGGTAGTTTTTGAACTAATTATTTTATTTTGTTTGCTCTAACTTATCATTGATGCAATCCCAAAATCTTTAGCAGTTGTCTAAATTTTTCTTAACTATATTAAAAGGCACTATGTGTGCTATCAAGTTCATCTATTCTGAGTGTCATCTTGCGGAAGAAATCTTTCTTGGAACCTTCTCATCTTCCCCATGTGTTTATGTTGTTTTCTAACCCCATACAATGATGTTTTAGGATTTTCCTTTGCCTTCATTTTGAGATTCCCTCTGATTTTTCCTGTGCTCATTCTCCTGCATTCCCTTTCTTGGCTTTCTCTCGTTTTTTTCCCTTAAATTCTTTTATTGGTACATTTTAGGTATACAATACATTTACATTTCTCATTGGGAACTTGTACCTTTACTTGATGTATCTTGGTTCTTTTTTTTTTTTTTTCTCCCATTTTTGATGGAGCAAATCCTCACACATGCTTCTGAGAAAAGGTATGTGGGGAATAATTGAAATCGTACACATCTGAAAATGTCTTTATTTTACCTTGAAATGAGATTTTATTCTGAAAGGCTCACCTGACTATATCACATCTACTGAGGATAATCTTTGTCTCAATTGACTAAATTAAGGTCAACAGACTGGCAGCCCATATTATATTTGCAAAATCCCTTCACCTTTGCCATATAACACAATACATTCACGGGAGTGTTACTTCATCAGCTTTGCCATATTATGTTGATATAGAAGCAAGTTCAAAATTCCACCTACTCATAAAGGTAGTCATATGATGGGGTGGGCATCATGGAACCATTTTAGAAGCGATCATTAATGACACAACATGCAATCATTGTTTAGATCTGAAATACATGATTCCTGATTGAAAAAGTCACTGAATGCCAGCATCATGATGAAACTACATCCACACTAGACTTGAAAAAGTGTTTGGCCACAGGAAGATCTCAGCTTCCAGAGCAAGCATCAGAGATAAAGCATAGCATTCGTTTTCTACACAGCAATAGTTCAATCTTGAGGCAATGGAACAATTACGAAGCATTGTGATTTCTGCACATGAATTATATACTTAAAAACTCATATTATTTCAGATTGTACTTTTCATGATTCCCTCCCTTCCTTCATAAGCAGAATTGTAATTTGGCTCCATGATTCCCTACCTCCTTCCCCCATGTACATGCCCTGACGGAAACTCCTGTCCTGAGTGTGGATGGAGCTTGGAACTTGCTTCTAACAAACAGAAAGTGGCAAAACTGATGCCACGATTATATCTTATCATATCATATTATATATTATATTATATTATATGGCAAAGGTGAAAGAATTTTGTAGATAAAATAGAGGTCCCTAATCACTTGACTTTGATTATCTTTTTTTTTTTTTGGCACCGGGGATTGTACTCCCGACCTTGCGCTTGTGAGGCAGGCAGCTAATCACTTGACTTTAAATTAGTTGAACAAAAGAAAATTATCTGGGTAAGCCTGACCTAGTCAGGTGCACCTATTGGCAAAAGGCCTAGAAATAATCAATCTGTCTGTGTCTCACTGTCCCTCTGAAAAGCAAGCTAATATGGGCTGTAAAGCAGCAAGCAGATAAATTTTGCCAGCCAATGGATGAAATTAGAGGAAGACCCTGAGCTCCTTATGAAAACTCTGTCGTAGCTAACCCTTTGATTCTAACCCTGTGAGATCCTGAGCTTGACTCCAGCCCATGGAAACTGTGGAATTATCGATGCATGTTGTCTTACATACTGTGTTTAAGGTTATTTGTTAGACAGCAATATATCTCCTGATACACAGTCTTTTTCCCTGCCCTGTTCTGTTTCTGGACTCAAAGTCCAGAGTGCTAACCGTTACACCATGGGATCTGCTTGTTCTCTGCTTCTGAAACTCTTATTTTTATATTTTGAGTCTCCTCAGCTAGTAATCTCTTCTTTGAATCTATTCTTTAATACTCTTTTCTTTTCTGCCTCCTAGGAAATTTCCTGAGACATTTTTATCTTTCAAGTCTTCTAATTCTTTTTCATTTATGCTATCACATACATATTTTCAAAATTCTAACAGGTTATTTTGTTTTATGAATATTCTCATTTATTATCCTGTTCTCGTTTCATGGTTGTTATACCTTTGTTTAACCTTTCTGAGGATATTACTGATGTGATTTATGTTTTGTTTTGCTTTTGTAATTTTCTTCTCTATGTAGGGTGTATGTTTGCTCCAAATTGCTTTTATCTGCTGCTTTATTTTGAACCCTTTATCCATCAAATTAAAAGTTTCCTTCCAATGAAAAAGACAGTGGGTATCTCTGGGTATGCATGGGGCTGTGTGTCGGAGTGTTGAGACTGGAGTGAGGAAGAGACTTATCCAACCATGGCTTTACTTTAGGATGATCTGGCTTGGCTACTTAGTTGTGGAGCCTAGAAGCCCACTACCTCCCGACCTCTCAGTTTCAGTTGGTCACACTGTGCGCGGAAGGATCTTCTTACCTCCTGGTTGAGCATGAGTCTGTCAACTACTATTTTGAAAGCTGAGTAAGTACAGATGACTATGGTTTTCAGCATTTAGCCTGCATTATTTCCCCTACTTTCTGTATCCTGCTTTCACCTCAACATCCATCCAGCTAAGAGACTCTGTCCCTTACTTCCCCAGAGACTAGGTCTCCAATCCTCTGCCAGAATGGTAGGGTATGGGGGAGAGGAGCTGGGAGTGGTGGATATCACTGATGGCTCTGCTCTCTGGAGCTGTAGCCAATCTTTTATTTTCGCTGTGCCCCATTTCCAAAGACAGCTGCTGCTGCAGACCCCACAAGCCTTTGTAGTCTCTGGTGTAGAGCTGAGTTTGTCTAAGTCCTTTCCGTTTGCTGGCTTTGGGTTCTGTGTTCGCAAGTCTGTTGTGATATTTTTACCACTCATTCATTTGCTTTCCATGTGCTAGGTTGTTTGTTTTCATTTTATCTTCTTCATTTTATTTTCCTCTTCTCTTCTGTCTGTCCTTACTGGTTTATGATTCCTAAAAGTATCTCATTCCCATTTCTGGGGGGAAGAAAGTAAAAGTAGATTGATGTATGTATTCAATTTGCTATATTTACCAGTAAGTCTGTTTCTGTTTTCCTAGAATAATTTTTTTTTGGTTTTGAGAGAAAAAGGTATATTTCAGATAACTACTCTCCTGATAAACAAACACACCAAAAACTCACCTGCTCTGTCTTTCTGGGGATCTTTCTAAGAAAATCCATTCATTTTGTTTTCCACCAGAGCTTTAACTCAAGTCATAAATTGATTAAACAATTTAGAGAATGGTTCTTTCCTCTAGAGAGATAAAGAACATTTATTTGTCAATAAATATATGGACCCTGAAAGAAGTAAATACCTTTTCATTGATAATTAATTTTTCATTCTCACATAAAGCTGGCAACTTCCACCTGCACATAGATTATTTTGAAAGGCAGTTCCTTGGAGCTGAGGTTTTTCTGTTAGTGATAGCTTGGTTCCCCTTTTGGCAGTCCTAGTCCATCAACTCAGAAGAGCTCCTGACAAAGTGATGAAGAAGTGGCATAGTAGCTCGCTTTGTCTCTCCTTCTCATCTCCCTCCCTTTAGGAATAGAATGCAGGCCTTCAGGCATCCCCAGCGCTGTTTGATTTGGAGACAGGATCTTGCTCGGTTGTCCAGGCTGGTCTTGAACTTGTGATCCAACTCCCTCAGGCTCTCATTGTTGGGATTACAGGTGTGCACTACGCCTGGCCTTTTGTTTTCTCTATTTTTATGTTGAGCCTTTGTTGACATAGCAACTATTCCAGACAGAATTCAAGCAAGTATATAGATGCGAACAAATACTCATAATGCAACGAATTATCTCCCTTCAAATGTAGTCATATGTATTTGACAAGTTCAAGGTTGAGAATATCATGAAAAAGATGATCCCCACTGCTATTTCAAAACCTGTGTCTCCCGATATTCCTAACCTTGGCAAAGAGGGCCCTGCAATGTATGTTCTTGTAAGAACCCTTGTGCAATTGTCTTCCCTGAGAAGTGTCCAAATAGGATACATGAGGGGCTTTCCCTAAGCCATAAATCTCCTGAGTTTCTGTATAAATTATCTTCTCAGAGAGGCCTTTCCTGCAGGCCACAGCTATTTTCTTTATAATATCTATCTATTACTATCTGAAATTACGGTCCCTGTTATTGACCCACCTTTACCTGTCTAAATACCCCACATAAGAGGTAGCTCCATGAAGTCAGGGCCTGGCTTGTCTAGCTCTCCCCAGTCCCCCCGCCCCTGCAAAGTAGCTTGTGCATATGTTTACTTTCGAGCTTGTCCCCAGCTGTGTGTACAGCCTGCTCCTTCACACTCTTCATGTCCCAGAGAGATCCCTTGGCCGCAGTATCTAAACTCAACTTTCGTAACCAACTGTGCATTTGTGTTAGGGTCCTCACTGCAAGAAATCTAAGGTGACTTCAGTTGGTGAAGCAGAAAAGGAGTTTAACAAGTTAATTTATGTTATACTGAATTCTTGAGAGGGCGGGTGAGCTAGGCTTGAGCTATGTTTCCCAAATAGTTTTCTCAAAATCTGTATTATAGAACAGATCTGATGAAACTGCAACCTGAGCTGCCAAGAACAAGCTGGCTCCTGCCTCTCACCCTGTTTCCCTAGGCATCCAAGCCTCCTTCTGTGGCATCCCATTCGGTTAGTGCCCTTTGCTTGGTCTCCATGCCCTAAAATCCTCTCTCACTTTTGCCTCTGTAATTCTTACTAAAATATGAGTGACTGAGTATGTTGTTTATATTTTGAAAGTAGAAAAGATATCTAAATTAGTTCTTTCAATAAGGTGAGAATTATGTCTGTTTTGTTCATTCTCAGGCATCTAATACAGACACGGTGACTGACTGGAAATTACTACTCAAGATTTGTCAGCTGACTGGTAGAATACTTGGAGTAAGAAAGACATCCCAGTCCTCATGCTTTTTATCCATTGCCTACATCTTTACATATTTTAGAAAGCTGAAAAGTTGAGGTTAATGGTTTTGTTGTTGTTGATTTCTCAGTATTTATTCCAAAAAATTTTCCTCCTCCATCATGTCACATAATAAATTCATAGAAAGCTTTTGTTCAGTTTTGTTTGGAGGGAAAGTTTAGACTTAAAATTTTTTTCTTCCTTCAAAAATTGTTTAAAATTTTTCCATCTAGAACAGTTTGTGACATACCCTAATAGATGAATAAATCCATGAGTGGGGAATTTTGTCAGAGTAAACACTGACTTGAATTTGGGAGGCCATGCATAGGGTTCAGATCCTAGAATAAAAGCTCAGGTTTCTAATTCAAGTTCAGTCCATTGTGTGATCTCATGCAAATTATTTAGCTGTTTTAGTGGGTTGTTTTCTCCCACTATTTCCACATCTTGCCCTAAACCCACTAAGCTGTGATGTTTAAGATCAATAAAAGTTGTGCTGTTATTTTCAAAGAAAAATCAAAATGTCAGCAGAGTCCCAGATTATACAGGCTATAACTATGTTACAGCTCCAGAAAGAGGCTCAAGATGAAATATGTAAAATATCAGTTATGTGGTTTCAATTTGAACAATTCCAGAATCTAATTCACTTTTGTTTTTTAAAAGAGCTCAACCATGCGCCTGGTAAAAGCTAAACCCAGGAAATAACATGGCCTCAAGCTGAAGGGGAAATGCCTGACAATGTCCACTGGGAAAAGGAAAAAAACAAGTGAGACTCAAGTTGTGATCCTGCTTCCCAGGTCTTTCCTGCCCACCTCTTCCTTTCTTTTGGGGGTACACTTTCACTGGCAAGGAGAATAAAAAGCTGTTACAAACAGAAACTTGTAAAGTGATGAAGAATTGAGCCAGTGGGCACAGAAATAAATGCTATAACTGTAAAATGGTGGATGGGAAAATGTGTGCAGACAGGCCGTGAATGAAAAGAGGCACTGTGCATGTCACTACCTTGGACAGGAGTTTTTAAAAAGTCTTACCATCTCACTTTTCCCTTGCCTTATTTTTCTGGGTAGATTTGACAGCTCAGAATTCCTGAGTGACTCTCCTTTCTTATTTCACATCTTTTTGGTTCATTTTTCTTCTTTTCACAATTTGAAAGCCCTCATCCCAAGCTTTAGAAAGGAGGGAGGGGAAAGCCACCACAGGCCTGGGCTTTACCCATGACTTTCTATGACTTAGAAGACTCTCACATTCTCTGCATCTGTGGGTTTCATCAGTCAAGTGTGCATAGACAATGCCCCTTCCAACCATGAAACAGGAAGGTGCAAATAGCAAGCAGGAGAACATGCGCACTATTTAACCTCTTCAGAGTCATCAGTACAGTGTCTCTCCCAAGTCTTTCCTCACCTTGGTACAAGCCTTGTTGTATGCTTCCAGGGCTCTGTGACTTTCCACCCATAACTCTTTTTCTTGTCCATCACTTCAAATGTTACTTCACATGCCTATGCTGTCATTTCAGTTTACCCTTTCATTTCTCTCATGTTTTTAATTCACATTAATAAATGCCTCACCCAAATTACAGTCTCTTATCTATGATTTTTAAAACTACATAAAATTTCATTCCTATGTGAGATTGAAATGCTAAATTTAATTCTCCCTTAAATTGGAACCGTGTGAAATTTCCTTTAAAATCTCTTAACCAAGGATGCCCACTTTCTTTTATTCAACATAGTACTGGAAGTCCTAACCAGAGAAATTAGGCAAGAGAAAAAAATAAAAAGCATCTAAAATTGACAGCAATAAGTCAAATTGCCACAGTTTTCAGATGATGTGATTTTATATATAGAAAACCCCAAACACTCTATAAAAAGCTATTAGAACTAATAAACAAATTCAGCCAAGAGGCAGGATAATAGATCAACATACAAAATCCATAGCATTACTATCTAGCAATAGCAAATTATTTGAAAAAGAAAGCAATCTCATTCCCAACAGCTACCAAAAATCAAAATGTCTATACATAAATTTAACAAAAGAGGTGAAAGTTATCTACAATAAAAGCTAAAAGACATTAATGAACAAATTTGGAGAGGATGCAAAGATATCAAAAGATATTCAATGTTCGCGGGTTGGAAAAATCAAAATTGCTATTTATTTTATTTAAATTAATCTGCAGACTCAGTGCAATCCTTATCAAAATATCAATGACAATATTCACACAACTAAAAAGCAATTCTAAAATTTATATAGAACCACAAAGGAAATCCTCAGTAACTGAGATAATTTTGAGAAGAAGAAAAAAAACCCAAAGCAAAACAAAACAACAAAGCAAGAGGCATTCAAAATATACCACAAAACTAGAACAATCACAGAAGCATGGCATGGATATTGAAAAAGGCAAACGGATCAATGGAACAGAATAGAAAATGTAGAAGTAAACTCATATATTACTAGCCAGCTGATTTTCAACAAATGTACCAAGAACACACATTAGAGAAAGGCTAGTCTTCAATAAACAGTGCTGGAAAAATTGGGTACCCACATGCAGAAAAATGAAACTAGACCCCTGTCTCTCACCACAAACAAAGATTAATTCAAAATAAATTAAAGACCTAAACGTAAGACCTGGTTATGAAACCACTAAAAGAAAACATAGGGGAAATATTTCAAGACATCAGAATGAGGAAGGATTTTTTTTAAAGATAAGATCCTTAAAGCACAAATAACAAAAGCAAATTAGACAAATGAGATTTCATCAAATTAAAAATCTTGTGCACAGCAAAGGATACATATTGAGATAATGACAGAAGAAAATGTTTATAAACTGTACATCTGACAAAGGATTAATAACCAGCATGTATAAAGAACTAAAAATCTCAATCACAAAAGAAAAAAATGCATAAAATGGTAAACAGATACAGACATTTTCAAAGAAAGACAAATATCTAAGGGGAACATAAAAAATTACTCTGCATCACAATCCATCAGGAAAATGGAAATCAAAACTACAAAGAGATATTATCTTTTATAATGGCTACTATAAAAAAAGACAATAAGTGCTGGTGAGGATGAGCAAAAAAGGGAACCCGGGAACACTATTAGTGGAAATGTAAATTAGTACAAATACTACAGAAAACAGTATAGAGGTTTCTCAAAAATTAAAAATAGTACAGCCATGAAATCCAGCCATCCCACAACTGAATTTATATCCAAAGAAAGTAAAATTGGTGGTTTAAAGAGGCATTTTCACAGCTGTTTATTGTAGCACTTTCCACAATATGCAAGAAATGGAAACAATGTAAGTGTCCATCAGGTGTCGAGTGGATAAAGAAAATGTGGTACATATACATAATGGAATACTATTTAGCGATAAAAAGAATAAAATCCTGTTATTTGTAACCACATGGATAGAACTGGAAGTATTATGTTGAATAAAATAGGGCAGTCTCACTCATACATGGAATATTTAAAAAAGATGATCTCATGGAACTTGAGAAGAGAATGTAGCAGAAGCTAGGAAGAAGGAGAGGAGAGAAGATGGGGAAAAGATAACAGTACTGAGTTATTGTTGGGCAGAAAAAGTAGTTTTAGTGTTCTTTGTACAGTAAATTTACTACAGAAGGCAATATTGTTTTATAAATATATATTGATTTGAATGTTTTTACTATAAAGAAATGATAACTGAGAATATTTGTATGCTTACTCTAATTTGAATATTACACAATGAATGCATGTATTGAAACATCACATGGTACCCCATAAATATATAAAAATTGTATGTATCAATTAAAAATAAAAATAAAAATACAATTAATTATATTTTCAGATAAGAAAGCTTAATTTTAATATTTGTTTACATTCATCAAAGTTACTGATTTCTGTTTTGCTTTTTTTAATGACCTCTTTTGAAGTTGTCATTTAAAACTCCTGAAGTGTTGATAGGAATAGTGTAGTATAAGTAAAACAAATCCCCAAAACTCCTGAAATTTCCTGTAGATAATGTATTTCTTTGACACTCTCCATATCACCTCAGTACTATGAAAATCTTTTTTTTAAATCTATATATTGAAGAAAAAATAAAAATAAAAGTTTGGTCCCCAACTTGCTTTAACAATGTATTTTCCTTGTTGCTTATGGGATTCTGAAACAACTCCTGCAAAATAGTCCATACTTGTTGTTTTGTTTACAATTACTATATTAAAGCAAATGGCAACATTGACCTGGAGCACCCTGAAGCAAAATTATAGATCTCAGAGAGTCTTTTAAATATTCTACTTAGTTGCTGTTTCATCATCAAACATAGCCAAATGTTTGTAGTATGTACATATTTTGAAACAAATCTATCATAGTGTCTGAGTGCAGAGTTAAGTCAATAGTTTGCAAACGTCTCTGTTTCTTTATGTGCATTTAGCTACTGATACATCTTTTTCAATGAATGAAGCAGACCTGAATGCATACAATAAAGGAAAGCAAAAATTACCAGGTTTGGACTTCACTTCACAGCCAGAAAGATTCTGTTGAGACTGCCAGCAGGGGATCTTGCGTATTAATACCCACCTGGAAGAGCTGACATGTTGAAAATGAGATTAACACCTTCCTGTTTTACATTAACTAAGGCTAAAGTGTCATTTGCCTTATCAGGAGAAAAATTCAATACTGAAATGAGCTGGTTACAAAAAGAGGTATGGTTTTAAGAAAAATGTTAAAATATTAAGTAGAATTTTTGTGGTGGTAGTACTGGTGATTCTTTGAAGGTAAATGCCTTCTGGAAATGGGAGTCAAAATAATACAGATGACTCAAAAACTGAGCACAATCACATGTAGCAGAGCTCCTCCTTTTCAGGCCAACGCCAAAGGACACAGTAAACAACTGTCAAAGTGCTTAAAAAATTAAAAAATAACAAATGAATACATGGTGTCAAAGAGTGCTGATGGCTAGGTATTTGTTGCCAATTCCAGACCAGCATAGAAACAAAAGAGCTAATATAAATGATTTATTCATTCAGATATAAGATAGCACTTTTTAATTCCCTCACTTCACACTCCATCTTGTTATGTATTTACTAAAGATGAACATTTAGATGAAAAAATATTACAAATTCTAATGTTGGGAGCCTCAGAGTTACTGTCAAATTTCAGTGGAGACGGGGAGAGAGAAGTGGGCCAGTAGTGGCTTGATATCTCCTCGGTCCAAACAGATTCAAGACAGGAGAGGTGGGCTTTTCCCAGACTTGGAAGGCCGGGAGTCACCCCAGTGGACGGACACTCGGTTGGTTGTCTCATCAGAGCCCCTGATTGGGGTGGCAGGGGGAAAGGATGGAGCACACACCTCCATTGTCTTCCAGGACATCAGCAGTTTCTAGGTTACAACGCCTGACTCCAGTAGGTGATAGAGGAGAGGCAGGATCACCCTCATCAGAGTCCTGGGTAAGGGAGAGGATGTCTTCTGGGGAGATCTGGGGAGCGTGTCCTTGTGGAAATGTGCTGTAAACTGGATCCTGGAGAACGGGTAGGATTCTAATGGGTGGAAAGGGAACGTGGTGGAGAGGAAAGGTGGGAAGAAGGCAGAATGGGTGGATTTATCACACTTCTGAGCCCATGATCACATACAGCCTTCTGGCAATCTATATATACCTAACATATATCAACAGGAACTATGTTGTTATGGAAATCACTGTCAGAATCCACTTTTCAAAAAAACTATATATGTATGCTGAAAATAGAAAGGATATATCAGCTTTCCACTGCTATGATGAATCTCCGTGATAAAAGGACGCAGAAAAGAAAAGGTTGTTTTGCCTCACAGCATGGATGGTCTCAGTCCTTGCCCGCTTGGCCCTGCAGCCTTGGGCCTGTGGCCAGGCCCAGTCCCTGGCAGAAGCGTGTGGTGGAGCCCAGCCCGGAGGCGAAAATAGAGGAAGAAGAAAGAAATGGGTCCCACAGTTCCCTTGGGGCTGCCCCCGGGACTCCAGAGCTCCCACAGACTCCACCTTTTAAAGGTTCCACCGCTTTCCAACAGCACCAAGCTGGGTACCAGGCTCTCACACATGGGCCTTTTGGGGACATTCTGGATCCATGCTAAGCAAGCGGTAAGGAAAAGGAATAAAAGCAGGGCTTTATTCTGCTTGCTAAATGTCTACTATTCAAGTCTTCAGAATAAAACACACCGGTAGCTATTGTTTCTATTCATTGCAGAGCTTCTAATTGCTGCTATCTTATGGAGTCTCAATGAAAAGACAGGGAGGTGGGGAGAGGGATGAAAAATGCATGTGATTCTTCAGATGTGAACTTGGAATCCTACTCTAACTACTTGCATTCATTGTTCCAAAGGTGACAGTGGTCTGTAGTGTTCAAAGGGAGCTGAGGAGGACAAGCAGTTTTAAGGTAGCACAAAGGAAGGGAACTTAATGCCTCCCTAAGGAGAAGCGGAAGAGGGCTGTGCTTGTGGAGAGGATGACAATAGCAATAATAACAATAAAAAGGAGTGTAGGGATGGGTTGGGGAAGGAGTTCTGATAACTGGGGACGAGGTGGGAGGAAGAGGTGGAGGGAACCCTTGCAGGTGTTGGAGGAAGCTATGTAAGTGATGCAAAAATAAGGCCCACTGGAGCTGTGAGGGAGGATACAGGAGCACATCCAGGGAGCTCCTAGGAATAATGGAGAGCACGCATTGCATCATCAGGATCACTGAGATCCGAATCCTCGGGGGGAAGTCACGTCTTTTTCTATATTAGATGTTTTGAAGCCAAGATGAGATGGGGGTTGGGGGAGTGAAAGAGGAGGAGAAAATCGCTGAGAAAAATTAAGCAGTCTGAAAGGAGAGTAAGATTATGAAGATAAATGTTTACCTCTCTGCTGCATTGTATCTCTTGGAATGAAACTGGTTTTGAATAGTGCTGCATCAGTACTGCGAATGTGGGCATTGTGAACAAATTGACTGTCTCAGATGATTTGACACATTTTGATTTCTGCTTAGGAAAATATCTGTTAATCCTCTTAGAAAGAGAAGGAGAGGGTCCTGAGCAGGAATGCAAAAGATCAAATCCTTCCCCATCTTACACACATTCTCCCAAGGCCAAGGTATTACAATCTCAGCTATTTCCAAAAGACCCTGTGCCTCATCCTGGCCTGCTTGGCATTACATCAAAATCCCTTCTTCTCCACCTCCCTATCCCTGCCTGGCACAGGCTAAAACCAAGACAAGACTGTCTGGCTGCCCTGCCTGTGGAAAACTAAAGGAGACAAAAAATCTTATTGTGTGTTTTTCTCTTAATGTAATTTTTCTTCTTTTCTTCCTTCTCCCACCCGCCTTTCCTTTCTTCTTTATGTGGCTTGCTGTTTGCTAATATCCAACTCCAGACCATTCTTTGTGTTTGGCACAGGAAGCAGTTTTATTGTTTGGTAACTCCAGGGGGGATATGGTGTCTATGATGTTGTCTAGGCCAAACCTCCCCTGGGAAGGTTAACTGCCTGTGCCTTACACTCAGAGGGAAAGGATGTCAACTGCACTCTTGCCCGCTGCCATCCGTCCTCTTTATCCAGAAGGCAGTCGCAGTCCTGCCTGGGAGTACTTTCTCTCCTTACAGTGGTCCTCTTCAATCCCGTAATGCAACTTGTTGGGACTAAGGCCAGTTATCTGACATTTGCGTTTAGAGAGTATAAATGAGAAGAATACATTTTTCCTCCAACTACTTTCTGAAAAAAGGTTCTTCTTGGAGCAACACCTAAGTCTGATCAAAGGGTCTGTCCATTTGTCTCAAGAGCCAATGCTGGAGCCCAGCATGGAGCTAAAAATATGCACTCACAGTGCTAGAAAATTGTATTCATTAAACTACCTACAGGCCCTCACCCAGAATCTGCTCCATGCCAAAGCAGCGTGCTGCTGTTAATCCTCCTTTATAGATTAGGCAGGAAAATAAAGAGGGTGGGGCTGAAATGCAGGGGAAGTCTGCACACTTGTTTGGAAAAGAAGAAAAGGAAAAGCACAGGGATTTCTTGTTCTCTCCTTCGTGTTCTGAGTTGCCAGGGTAGTCCGGGCCCCACTGAGAGGCACAGGGCTTTTTAGCGTTCACAGTGTTTGGCTTCCACTGGGTAAGTGCTACACATAAAATGGGAATTTAGAGACAAGATCAAATAAATGTCTTCTAACTGTGGTACCTTGTTATTTCTGGATTCCTTCTTTCTGCCTTAAGGAAGGAATAATAATGACCACAGCTGACATTATTGAGCATTTACTATGTGCCAAGCAGGTGGTGAGTTATTTACGGAATCTAGTTTCGTTCTCCTAAAATCCCTGCGAGCCTGGGACTATCACCATTTTGCCAACAATGACCTGACAGTTGGGAAAGTGAAGTAGCTTCAGCAAGTAAGAGGTAAAGCTGGGATCTGAACTCACTCTTAATGTCTATGCCACAATGCCATCTCTAAACAGTTCCCTTAAGAGTGTTTTAGGGTTTTCCTTTAAGACTTTGGTGACTGTTCCTTAATAATACTTCTGCTATTATCTTCATCTTTACAATTTTCTGCAATCAAATCATAAGGTTCCTTAAAGGCAGGAACTGTGTCTCCCCTACCTTTTCGTCCCCTACGGCTCTTAAAAGTCTCTTGCACAGAATAGAAGCTAAATAATTATTCGTTGAAATGCACTTGGCATTATCCGTGTCTAAATCAAGCCCATCTAAACAAGTCCACTTCCCAGACACGGAGGTTTTCCTCTCCTTTGTAGCCATCCCCTTCTTGTTTTCTTTTCGAACGCTGAGTTTGAACTGGAAGGACATGTAGTTGTCTTGCCATTTGGCGTGATTTGAAAGTGAGAGTGGGTTGTGCTTTAGCCCGCCCTCAGCAGTAGGGCCTCACACTCACGAGGCTCTGATTGTAGGAGTTGCCTGATTTGCATTGATGAGGATGAGCCAGCTGCTAGAGCATACAGAACTGCACCTGACACAATCACCGAGTTCAGGATTAGCGCGGGGAATCAGGAATCCACTGAGCTGCGTGGCAATTTCAGCTCCACATTAGAGTCACTCATGCAAAATGACCCAAATTTGCAATGAGCACAATTAGCAGTCCAAAGATGCATGTTAATTTGGGGCCTGATATTTTCCTACATTTCCCTAAGTTAAAAATTATAAATATACTCTTTCCTCGATGAGTCTGGGCAAGAAAACAATTCAGGGGATTAGAGGGTTGCAGAAAATGTGCAGACCCCAGAAAATGGGGATTTCTTTGGGTTACTAGCACCCCCCCACACACTGGTTTTAAGTTTGGCATCAAATAGGGTAAGGGCTTTGTGATATGATGCCCCTTTTTGAATCAGTAGACAGCAACTATGTACCAGGATTAAAAAATAATAAAATAATAATAATAAGAGCTGTAATATGTAGAAAAACACTCTTAAGCTTTAAGAAAGGATTTGATATTTTATGTCACGTATTAATATTTCTGAGGCTATGTTTGGATCCCTATAACCAGAGATAAACTCAGTTATTTCATCATGTCCTAAAAGTACAAGAGATTGCGTTGAATTTTTGTGAAACTTGAGTTTGTAAATAAAATTGAACATTCTCAACCCTGGGCTGTGTCTCCATATGTTTGCAGTCTATAGGTATCGAAATGCTCACCTATACTTTAGGGGAAAAAAACCCACAACATTTTGCAAAAATGGAATAAATGATCATTCAAAGCAAAAGCATGCAGTTCAAAAGCTAAACCTCCCATTGGAGAACAGAAAATTTAATGAGCTTTTAATGGAATGCAATGCTCAGAGTAGTAAATTATTTGTTAGTTGACGATGCAATCAGCATGCTGATTAAGGTTGCTTGGTTTTTTACTAAACATTAACTGAATGAAAACGGGTAGCCCTTGTTCTGCTTGGGGGGCTTTAAGGAAGCAAATGGACTTTCAGAACAGAGATTGTCAATAAAGGTGAGTGCACTCCAGGTGTCATTTGAATATGATGATAAAATACTAGTGATAAATATTTAAAAGCATTTTAAATCCACAATGTTTGCCTAGTGTGTTGTGGACTCTGTTTAAAGAAACAGTGGGCCTTAGCAGGCCTAACAACAATCCCTCTATCTCTCTCTAGAAAGAAATATCTAGATCTGCTTTTTTTATTGCAAAAGAAAAAAGGGGGTGGGTACGCTTTGAAAATATAAACCAGCGTAGGCTCAGGGACCAGGAACTGCTTGGGAGTTTGAAATGTAAGCCAAAAAGAAGAAAGAGAAAAGACAAAAATCAAAACAAAGGAAAAAATATTCCTGCAGCAAATAAGACATCTACTTCTCTGGATAGATTAAGATAAAAATTTAATTAAGCAGTTTTGATATTTCAATGTTTTAAAATAATTGCTATTAGAATATATACATAATTTTAAATTTTAAAATGATGGCATTCTGAGGGCAAAAAGTATTGTGATATTGGAGTTGTGTTCTGTCTAATTTAGGAGGTCTGAGAAGAGTAAAAGAAAAAACAAAAACTGGAAATAAATTATGTAATGCTTATTTTGTTGAAGATGTTTAAGATAGAATTTGTAAAAATACAATTTTCTGTATTTTAGCCGATGTGTACAATAGCCCTAAATTAGTGCCTCTGAGATTTTTGCTATTAAATCCATTTAAATTACTAGATTTATCCCCCCCTCCAAAGAGGGGTTTTTTGTTTGTTTTTCTCCCTACCAATTGAAGAATCGTGGGTTTGTAGGTTAATTTTCTTTGAGCAGCTACAAAGTCCTTTTTCTATAAATCCCAATTAGTTTCATCTTTGGAGATCTTCTGGCAATGATCAGGTACCCTTAAAATCCGATAAATAACCACCTCTCACTTTTAACTATTCCTGTTTATGACCCAAGAGGTTAAAAGCCTTTGACTGGCATTTGACTTCTGACCTCATATAAATGTTATCTTATCAGTTCCTGCTTGTTAACTTGTATTGAGTGCTTGTCCCTGATGGCTTTTAGATAAAGGGTTGTGGGGGGGTTTTCCTTTTTTTTCTTTTTAATATATTTCCTATAGGAACTAAACCATTTGCTTTGTTCTATGCCTAGTGCACTCAAGTCTACACAGCAAACTGCTATAAATCTGTTAGAAAACACCAAATATACTTTTATTTATTCTCTAAATTATTTTAAATTTAGCTTTATGGGTGGAATTTTATGATTAAAAATAGACAATAATTGTAATTAATAGTAGTAATTAGTGATGATCTTAACCCTTTAACATGTTTGAGAAGCTGATTAGCTTTGTGTTCTCTTTGTGAAAAAAAATACAAGAAAATTTTTAGAAAAGCAATTTGAGCTTTGCATTTGGTACCAGCATGAGATGAGTTAGAGAGATAATTTATGGAAATCTTGTCTCCGTAGACTTCAGAAGTCTGCCTAATGAGAGAGTCATCAGTAAGATATATCTTTTTAAAAAAATCAAATCCAGACCATGAGCAGTGCATTTTCTAACCTTTGGGGAGGAAGGTGGTGGCCTGGAGCCCTCCTTTGCCCTTCTGTCCTAAGAATTAGGAGGGATTTTGGCCTTTTATTGCATGTGCAGCCGTGGATATGGTTCACACATGCAAGTGTGTATGTGTGTGAGTCTACTCACTGTGTACAAACCTAAATACATTTGAATGTTTGCATTTTAATCTGTCTTCATACCTCCATGGCACCAGGAGGGTATTCTGGGCAGATGTTGGTGCCTCCGAGGCTGCTTCATTTGCAAATGACCTACAGTGTGATTTCTAAACAAAATATTGCATTAATTTTTATGTGGAAAACAGGCAGCAAGGAAGGGAAGGAGGAAGTGGCAGCCATCTTGGAATCATTTTGCCTTTTAGCCCCATTCTTTCTCCTCCTCAGGCTCAATAATTAGAATATTATCTTTATTTTTAATTGGCCCTCAATGCAAAGCCAGAGGCATATTGAAGAGACCTTTGTATTTGTGTTTGGAGTAGAAAAAAAGTTGTTACCTCTTTGGACTTTAAATAATAACTGCGACTATAGACAAACTGCACCTATTATTCTCTATCCTTCTAAATAAATATACATATAAATGAAGCATATGCCACAGCTCGTAAGAGACCTGTGCAAAACCTATTAAGGGAAACAAATGTCTATTTGGACCATTCATTTGCCGCTATCTAAAGAATTAATATGTCAGTAAAGTTATCTGCCCTCCCTCCCCCATTCTGTCTTTTCTCCCTAAACACACATACGCGCGCGCACACACACACACGCACACACACACACACGCACACATGCACACACCCCACCCTGGAGAGATGGCAACCCTGGAAACTTTTTTCTTTTTTAAAAACAGGAATTCCCTTTCTCTTAGATCATAGGTATTTAGGGGAAAAGTGAAAAAGAACAGCTTTTATTTCTGTTTTTTGTAAATTAAATTTTATTTTTCCGAATGTGGAGCGCTGCAGTGCTCTGTCATGTCCAACACTGCTTTCATCGTGCTTATATTCTAGAAACACACAGGTTTAATGCAGTTTGTCCTCACTTTTCATTTCAACCATTGCTTTTCTCAAAGTGGTCACAGTTTAAAGGCTGCAAAGGGAAAAGAAATACCACGGCAGGGGGAAAAACAAACCAACCCCCAAACCAGTGCTGGTATTCACTGCATTGACACATTCTCCAATGTTTTCTCTGTAGTTATAACACAAAAGCGCTTTCTTCCCTGTTTTGATGTGTTAAAGACGAAAGAGAGAGGACACTTCGAAGTGGCAAAATAAGTATTTGGAAAGCACAGGGGAAATATTTTTGCTTTGAATGTTCAGCATATGTCCATAACATGTAGACCTTCTATAGTTTAATATTGTTACATTTTTTAATTGGAAAAGGATGAAAAATTTAAATTTAAGCACATTGTCTCACATCCCCCAAACTTTTAGCTATGTGACCTTTTTATATAATCAGAAGTGCGTCCAGAGCCAATCATTCTACTGTCTCTGAAATAAAGAGAACAAGGATGCAAATCCTCTGAGAAGTGTGTGAGCCGATCAATAACAAATGATTGTTTAATTCTGATATTTGGCAGAACAAACTATAATTTTTTATTCCTTTGATATCAGTAACCTCAACTAGTTTTCTTAGGCAATATTATTACTTAGTGAAACCAGGATTTGAAAGACAAATAATGACCTGGTTCCTAAATACTCTACTACTCTAATGACCAGATTCTCAGAGGTGAAGCCCAGAGTCTTTTAAGATTGTGCTTTGTAGCCTGGATTTTTTTTTAAAAAAAACCAAAATTTAAATGTGTAGGCTAGGCGATTTCAAAACTGATGAAAGTTATATTACTGTTCTTATTGATATTTAATATTTCAATATATGGTCACAAGTCTCAGTTTACCTAGGGAAAAAAAAGTAGTTTATTTAACCAGTTTTTATGCCTATCAAAATGAACACCCTCAAAATATATTTGATGTAGCATTTTAAAATTTTGTTTAGAAGAGCAAGAAAGAAGATGAAGGGAAACTAAGGCCCTCTATCCTTCAGCTCTATAAAGTTACCTAAGGATGTATTTAAAAATACTGCTTATATTTATAAGTAAACTTGCCCCAAGAATATATTAAGGAATTTAGTCCATTTGATTTTTTTCCCATTCCTTGCCTCAAAAATCAAACCTGTTCTCTTTGGAAAAAACAGAGGCTTCTCTGATATTATGGACTTTGCTGTGTTTCAGCAAAAAAGTTGAGAATGTGGTCAGAAATGTTGCACATTTTAGGTCCCAAGTTATTGCTGCTGTTCCTTTGTGAAGACTGAGCAGATGGGCTTCTAATTTCACTCGGGCTTTGTCCTCTCTTCTGTGTGTTTTCTTTATTTGTGTAAATTGGCCTTGTCTCTTCCTGCTAGAATGTTTAATCTGGGCATACTCTCCCCGATAGATTCACATTCCTACTGTCCCAGCTTGTTTGGAGTGTGGAGTAAGAGGTGGTTTTCCTTACTTTAAAAGCTTTGTAATTCAGACTCAGAGAGCCAGGACTTTTTCTATCCATCTGGACAAACTCAAAGGCCACACCCAATATCATCAGCCATGTATGTAGCCTTCTGATGGGAAAACGACAGAATAACATCCACGGGCATCTGACAGGAGAGGTATGGCCTGGACATGCGCCTCGTTCTCCTCTTGGCCTGGTGTGCCCTGGAGAATGAAAATGCTCACACCCAAGTTGATGCTTCGAAGTGACCAGTCAGATGCTAGCAGGTCAGCTGGCCAGAGGGTCCATAAATCAGAGAAATGGTGGTGTGGTTGAAAGGGAAGGGAGTCCGGCCAGAGGGAAGGGAAGCCCCGTAAATCTCACTCAGAGCTTTGTTCCTGGCAGAGAGTGGGGGTGTGAGTTGAGTGGCTTGGGGCTGAGGGCTGTTATTCATGCCCTGGCCCTCCTGCAGTGGGTGCTAACTTGTGCGTGAGAGCTGCCGCCACCCTTCCCAAACATCGGGTGCTTGGAAAAGTCAAGCACGCTGAGCCCTGATTTTCATTTAATAGTCAAAACCAAGATGCATTTGGGCTATGAGGATAGGACAGCTTCCTTGAAAAGATTATTTGAACTACAAAGGCATTCATTTAGGGCTAGCAATGTTGCAAAAGGGCCTGCTAGAAATTAGCAGCCTGTCCTGGTATTCGGAGAGCAAGAATGACAACTTATTGGAAGTTCTCAAGGAATCATTTATATTTCACACTCCACTAGGCAGCTGATTTGAGATTGTCTGTTAGCATAACAAAGGCTTTGAGCCTGTGAACTTCAGAAACCTTTCGACCTCTTAGCTGCTGGCATGAATAGCCCCCAGTCCTGCCTATAGAGATCTCCCAAAGCTCCCCTGTTCGTGGCTAAATTGTTAATCAGGGTAATTTAATATAGTTTTCAATATGCCTCATCTCTTATTGGGAAAGGTATTCACAGCTTCCCTACCCCTGAAAAAAAAGTTC